AGTAAAATTGCAGAGAAACTGTAGGACTGGCTCCACTTGGAGCCTTTGCTTGTGGTAACTCCAGGGGTCTGGGCAGAGCTCCTTGGAGAAATATTGATGTTATTGTTATTCAGGAGAACACACAGTATTAGTCCTACCAGGTGAGAGTAAGACCACAACCACATTATTTCAGCCAAATTTGAAGCAAGCTTTATTTAATACTGGCCAGGACGATGGAAACTGACCAGGTCCATACTCAAGATTCCTGGAGAATGGGCCTGAACTATGTTAGTCAGGTGCCTATTGTTATGATTGTTTTGTTTCTTTAAGAGACAAGCCACGTCCACTCCATTCCTGCCTACAGCCTCAGACCCTGACTCTTCCTTCTTCCTGTCCCCAGAGAGGCTTCCTCTCACCCTCTTTTCTCTTTCTCTTTCTCTCCTCCTTCTCCCTCTTTTCCTTTCCCTCGATAACCCATCTAATAATTATCTAACTTTACTTTGTATGGTATGTTTATCCATCTCTCTCACCCACCCACCGCAGTCACATCGAGTCAGCCGCGTGGTCTCGTGCACCCTCCCTGCTTGGGACCCCAGCAGCTTGTAGCAAAACCATCTGCATAATGTGCCTATCTGTCTGCCCCTTGCCCACGCACTGCCCACATAGCTAGCCGCTGGGGACGCCCAGGGGACCAGCCACCTTGGTTTGTGGGGACCTACAGCAAATTCATAACACCTATAAAGGCAAAACTTACAAGACTATACTTTCCGCCTTTGTCCAGTGGGGGCGAGCATACAACCTGATATACTTCCTGCCTGTACATGATCATCACATGCTGTACATTCAGGGCAACTAACCTTGCTTGTGGAAGTGAAAACAGGAGGCTGTTATCTCTTACATGAACAGTCCCTGTCATTCCAGGAAGTTATCTATCCTTGTGCAAGTGGGGCTTACAGGCTAATTTTAGGGAAAATGGGGCTTAAAAGTTAGAGAGATTTTTGTTTTGTAGATCTCTTAAGCACAGTATTAAAAACTTGAAACATAACTTTGGTACTCATAGTACACACACATTCAGACACACACATACACATACACCCATGGACACAAACAAATCTCCAACAAAAAAAAATTGAGGAAAAAGACACTGGCCAACTTTTCACATGTTGACTCCATTTTTGTTAGGAATGAAACCTCCTGTCTTATGAATTTTTGTGTAAATTTGTTCTAATTAATGTCCTATTCTTTTATTCCAGGCAAGCCTTCTTCTTTCTGTGGACAATTACCTAGAGAATAAAACCTTGTGCTGTGTTTATTTTTCATGTCTCTGTCAATAGTTTTGTCACTTTTAGGTCCATAGGTAACATCGCGACATTTCTGATTGAAAATCACTGAGGAGCTGTAGCTAACTGTGGTGGAAATCAAGAGTCATTATCAGTGATTAATCAGTGCATATCTATCTCTTATGAAGAAACTATATTTATCTGATTCGTAAAATACAAATGATTCCATAAGAATCTTGTTATGCAATTCTTTATCTGTGACAAAGGTTTTCTAAAACAATGAAACCACATTTTTCATGGGAGCATAAGATGAATATGTTTTAAAGGTGTTATTGCTCTGAATTTTAAACAGGGGCTTACATGAATATCACATCCTGGATGATATTCCAGCTCATTGATTAATGAGAGCACCACTAACGTTCCTGATTAAAGGAACAAATGAAGATAATTTAAAAGCATACAATTAGGATTTAGAGTTTTGGATACATGTATTATTGCTTAATGTATTGTCTGTGGAAAGTAATGAAGATTCTCTTCTTGGTAAAACTTGGTTGAGGTTGTTTTTTCTTAAATAGTGCCCAGCTGTGTTAGACTAGACTGCCCAATTTCAATAAGAATTATAAATCAGTCAAACACACTTCATATAAATTCACCTGCCCTTCCTTCAACCAGGACCCAGTCAAGCAGAATCAAAACTTTCCTGTGACATTTTCCTCCTCATAACTTTCCATCTGTACCTCTTCTTCTGCTGCTTCCTGCTGCAGCTCACAAACATTCTTAGTCATGTTTCTTCTGCAGATACAAAATAGCAGAGAAACTCAACTCAGAAGAACTGTTCATTTCAACTCACCGTGATGAGGCTGTCGATGGTCAGTTGACCATATATCTTCCCATCCTATCAGGAGGCTATACATGAGGGAGACATGAGAGAGAGCAAAAGTGTTCACCTAATGGCAAGGACATGGGTAAAGGAGGCAGGAAGAAAAATTCCTGTAATTCTCTTCATGGGCAAGCTCCTGGCGATATGGAAGTTTGCATTAGGTCACCAGTGATTCAGGTTTCTATAGCATCCAGCCGCACCAAACTGAGAGCAAACTTTTAAAATCTGTGTCTTGCACAGGGGTCATTTCAGATCAACGTTATGTTAGAAAGCAGCACCAAAGTGTGGTGCTCTGCTGCCCTGATATATATGTATATCTATATCTATATCTATCTATCTATCTATCTATCTATCTATCTATCTATCTATCTATCTATCTATCTA